TGTGCTGTCTCTTACCCAGAGCTGTAGAATTACTGGTATATTGAAAAGGTATTTTATTTGGTTAATCTTAATCCCTTCAGTCAGTGCATTAAACTTAATCTTGCAGCCAGTTAAACCTGAACTTCTTAAAAGGAAGGTGAAATGCATACATAAAAAGCACTTGTGTGGAGGCTCTGCATCAGCATAAGGAAGAATTCCTGTCCCCTGCTGTTCAGACTGGGGGCCTGTTCCTGTACCTGCTAATGTTCCCACTCGGGTTGTAGCAGGGTCAGAATTAACTTCATTGTGGTGTAAAGGAATGGAGTCTAAACATAGCTGAAGAGTTGCATTTCTAAGGCATTTCCTGGCACATGACTTGCTTTGCATATTTAACCAAAGAAGACACCCATGCAGTTGCCTTGCTGACTAGTCGATGGCTATGACTGCCTCTCCATTAACTGGCAGGAGAGCAGGTAGCCTGGTTGCTTCAAGCAACTAACTATGATAGGTTGGATGGTAGACCTAAACAGGAATTATTTAGTTTGAATAAGGGAAGATGGGGAAGGGGGGGTGATAAGGGGGATTCTTCAGATTAGGTTTTTAAGTAAAAGTTAATTGTTGTCACTGTCTGCAAGGGATAGGCAAGATGTGTTGGAGTTAAATTACAGCAATGAGATTAAGGTTAAATATTAAAAACTTTGTGACTGAAGGTAGTTAATCCTTGAAACAGATTACCTAGAGCCATTGTAGAATCTTTATCACTGAAGTTTTTAAGAGCAGATTAGACAAACACTTAGTTTAGACAGAGATATCCTGTCCTGTGCAAGGAGTTAGATTAGATGACTTCCAGCAGTCCTTCCAGCCTTATGCATCTGTGATTAAAAGGCATGTGCTAGAACCCACTTAAAGGATTCTGCCTTGCTCTCAGACTCCATATATCACACTTCTGTTACATCTGCATGAGTCTGTGGTGATACAAGTGTAGCAAAACCATTCCAATTTTGACCCTGCTTCCTTCAATTCACCTTCCCCTTTGTAGCAGGTATGCATGTAGGTTTCTCCATACCCTCAATCCATAACATTGATTTCTGAATGTATCTTAATTTACTGAAAAGACAAGTGGTTTCCCACACATTAGGGGAGTGGGCATTAGTAATTTAAATGCAGTGTCACTGCTTCTAGAACCTTGGCTTAATTCACCGTTAACAAAGTCTGCTTTATTAAATTGTAACCGTATGTAATATTTTACTTCTGTGATTCAAGCAGTACTGTTTTAAGCTTTAGTTAACTGGGCAATAAGCAGGCCTTTATTCTTTACTTCTGCATATGGCGTAAAGTGAAACCAAGCTGGTGTTGGTTAAATGAAGAGTAGAGAGCTTGTTACCTATTGTAAACTTTGTACAATATAGTTGGCCACTTCCTAACAAAACCTGGTTCTTTGTCAGAGTCCTAAACCAGCCTGAACTAATGCATCATGCCATACCTGCTGCTGAAAATATTTTTCCAACCTAGGTGTTTGCACACTCTGCCTCCTGCTATCACAAGTATTGCAGTTCTGTTTAATTGATTTGTACTACTACATCTGTTAAAGTTGTATGCTGTGTTCTTACATTTTTTTCCAACATGAAGGAAATGCTCTCTTTTTGTGTAAGCAAACTATTCAGAATAAAAGACTCTTAGCTTAAGACCTAATATAAACAAGATTCTTATCGTATAATGGTTAAGGAATGTTGTTCCTCAGTTGCTAATCAGATCATCTTATGATCTCCCTACCCCCTGCAAGTCTGATAAAGTTTTCACTGCATCTAGAGCAGTGTTTTGAGGCATGCCTTGATAGACTCAGGGCACCCCTTCATAACTTCTGTGAATTGAGCAGCTCCCCATTCTAAAGACTAACTTATTTATTGTGGTGCTTACCTCCCTGAAGAGGGGCTAGACAGTGGGGGTGGAACAGTGGCCAGGCAGTGAAAAGCCTGAGCCTGCACCTATGAGCCTACACCTAACCCTGAGTGCCCTGTTCTAGAGTAAACCCCTACCAAACACTTGCCCCTCTACCTATAAAAACTGAGCATCATGTGAATATTTTCCCCCTGCATTTAAAAATGTCAGTAACAAAAGGCATGTATGGGGAAAGTGTCTAAAGAAATGTTATGCCAGCTTAAGATTGCATCTCTGACTTTCTTCAACCCATCTAGTAAATTGGAGAACACTTTATCCTTTTATGACTTATGCTTCAGTTTTCTGCAAATTCATCAGTCAAAAGCCAGGTCTGAATGACTTACAGTCTGTTGTAATGAAGATGTTTCACGTTCTGTCTCTTCTGTGGAGTCCTCTCCCAAGTTTTCTAGCACTACATTATATTTTTCCAATTTTCTTAATGCTTTCTTCTTCTTCTTGCAGTGTGAAAGATGCATCTAAAAGTGAAAACCAACCTGACTAGATATTTGGGAACCATTTAAACTGAAGTGCAGATTTGAAACATTTGTATAAAATTAACTAAAAATTATACAAGATTTATAATCTTGTTAGTAGTGTTGGATGTTGTTAAAATACTAGGCTCTAGGGTTTTTTAAATTATAAACTGAGGCAGATAATGTCTTTGTGTTTGCAGGTTGGGAATGCAGCACTGTATTTACCATGTTACTGTATCTCTTTTTTTATAAGTTATTTCTAAAGTAGCAAGTATTGGGACTTAGTTTGGTGAAGTTATACATCTTATAGAAACAGCTCTTCTATATTTTCTCTTCCACTGCTCTCAAGCCACCTCCAGATTTGATACTATAGTAATTATGATTGCCAACTGTTTTTTTTTCTAGCTTATTCTTGGAATGGTTGAGAGTGCAATGGCTTCCTGCTTGAGCATCCAAAGGTCTAGCTCACTTCCAAACACTTTAGTCAGGAATTACAAAGAGGCTTAAAAAAAGAAAGAAAGGAATGGAGCTGGATTGTTTAAGTAACAGTTGATTCAGAGAGCACTGCAACCCATTTATGACTCCACTGTGAGTTGGTGCCATCTTTACTTCTGCTGTGTTTAATCATATCACTGGTATGTATGAGAGTACAGCTGAAGATGCATCTGAAAAGTTCTGGGAAATATTGAGTGATGCTATTTAGAGGAGTATTAATGACATGCAGAAAAGCAGGTCTTTTTTGTCTCTAGACTGCTCAGGAAGGTACACCTTTCAATCAGTAAAATGCCGTGGTGAAAATGGGAGGGGCTGTTTTGTTAGGTTTTTTTTAAATATTCCAGCAATGCCATATAAGATACTATGTTCCTGCAGTCTCATTCAATTCAATGAGTGTATAAGAAAAGCCACTTTTTTTCTTTCTTTCTTTTTTTTTTGGGGGGGGGGGGGGGGGGGGGGGGGGGGGA